TCTTTCTGACTCACTTCACTCTGTATAATAGGTTCTAGGTTCATCCACCTCATTAGAACTGACTCAAATGCATTCCTTTTTATGGCTGAGTAATAATGCATTGTGTATATGTAGCATGACTTCTTTATCCACTCATCTGTCAATGGACATCTAGGTTGCTTCCATGTTCTAACTATTGTAAATAATGCTGCAATGAACAATGGGATACATGTGTCTCTTTCAATTTTGGTTTCCTCAGGGTATGTGACTAGGAGTGGGATTGTTGGGTCATAAGGTGGCTTTATTCCTAGTTTTTTAAGGAATCTCCATACTGTCTTCTATACTGGCTGTATTAATTTACATTCCCACCAACAGTGCAAGAGCATTCCCTTTTCCTCACACCATCTCCAGCATTTACTGTTTGTAGACTTTTTGATGAGGGCCGTTCTGATTGGTATGAGGTGATAACTCATTGTAGTTTTGATTTGCATTTCTCTAATAATGAGCGGTGTTGAGCATCTTTTCATGTGTTTGTTGGCCAGCTGTATGTCTTCTTTGGAAAATTATCTGTTTAGGTCTTTTTCCCACTTTTTGATTGGGTTGTTTGTTTTTCTGATATTGAGTTGTATGAGCTGCTTGTATATTTTGGAAATTAATCCTTTGTCAGAAGTTTCATTTGCTATTATTTTCTCCCATTCTGAGGGTTGTATTTTCACCTTGCTTATAGATTCCTTTGCTGTGCAAAAGCTTTAAAGTTTAATCAGATCCCACTTGTTTACTTTTTTTTTATTTACATTACTCTAGGAGGTGGGTCATAGAGGATTTTGCTTTGATTTATGTCATGAGTATTCTGCCTAACAGTTTTATAGTTCCTGGTCTTACATTTAGGTATTTAATCCATTTTTAATTTATCTTTGTGTATGGCATTTGGAAGTGTTCTAATTTCATTCTTTTACATGTAGCTGTCCAGTTTTCCCAGCACCATTTATTGAAGAGGCTGTCTTTGCCCCATTGAATATTCTTGCCTCCTTTGTCAAAAATAAGGTACCCATAGGTGTGCGGGTTTATTTCTGTGCTTTCTATCTTGTTCCACTGGTCTATATTTCTGTTTTTTGTGCCAGTGCCATACTGTTTTGATGTCTGTAGCTCTGTAGTATAATCTGAAGTCAGGAGGGTTGATTCCTCCAGCTCCATTCTTCTTTCTTAAGACTGCTTTGGCTATTTGGGGTCTTTTGTGTTTCCATCTGAAATGTGAAATTTTTTTATTCTAGTTCTGTGAAAAATGCCATTGGTAATCTGATAGGGATCACACTGAATCTGTAGGTTGCATTTGGTAGTATAGTTATTTTCACAATATTGATTCTTCCTACCCAGGAACATGGAATATCTCTCCAAAGGTGACATGTTTATGTCATCTTTGATTTCTTTCATAAGTGTGTTATAATTTTCTGTGTACAGTCCTTTTCTCTCCTTAGGTAAGTTTATTCCTAGATATTTAATTTTTTTGTTGTTGCAATGGTGAATGGGATTGATTCCTTAATTCCTCTTTCTGATTTTTCATCATTAGTATATTGAAATGCAAGTGATTTCTTTGTTTTGGTTCTATATCATGCAACTTTGCTAAATTCACTGATTAGCTCTAGTAATTTTCTGATACTATCTTTAGGGTTTTCTAGGTACAGTATCATGTCACCTGCAAACAGTGAGAGCTTTTCTTCTTCTTTCCTGATCTGGATGCCTTTTTTTTTTTTTCCTTTTGGTTTCTGCCCTCCTAAATTTGGTCATGTAGTTTGTGTGAGCTTCCTATAGGGTGAGATTTGTGCTGAGTTTTGTTTGTTTGTTTGTTTTTCCTCTGATGGGCAAGGCTGAGCGAGGTGGTACTCCTGCCTGCTGATGAGTGGGTTTGTATTTTTGTTTTGTTTGTTGTTTATGGTGCTACACAGGGTGCTACTGGTGATTGACTGATGCCAGGTCTTGTATCAAGTGGTTTCCTTTGTATGATTTCTCACTATCTGATACTCCCCAGGGTTAGTTCTCTGGTAGTCTAGGGTCTTGGAGTCTAAAGTCTCCCTTTAGAGTGGGAGTCAGTGCTCCCACTCTAAAGGCTCAGGGCTTGATCTCTGGTCAGGAACGAAGATTCCACAAGTGGTTTGTTATGTTTTAAGTGAGATTAAAACAAATATCCAAAAACAAAAAACCAAAGATGAACCCCAAATGGCAGTTACAAAATCAGGCAAATAATAATTAAAATAATGGAATATACACATATACCTATATACGCATGCGAAAAGTGAAAGTTGCTCAGTCACGTCCAACTCTTTGTGACCCCATGGAATATACAGTCCATGGAGTTCTCCAGGCCAGAATACTAGAGTAGGTAGCCTTTCCCCAGGGGATCTTCCCAACCCAGGGATCGAACCCAGGTCTTCCACATTGCAGACAGATTCTTTACCAGCTGAGCCACCAAGGAAGCCAAGAATACTGGGGTGGGTAGCCTATCCCTTCTCCAGGGGAATCTCCCCGACCCAGGAATCATACCAGGATCTCCTGCATTGCAGGCAGATTCTTTACCAACTGAGCCACCAGGGAAGCCCAGAACATGAATGTGAAAGTCGCTCAGTCGTGACTCTTTGTGACCCCGTGGACTCTACAGTCCATGGGCTTCTCCAGGCCAGAATACTGGGTTGGGTAGCTTTTCCCCTTCTCCAGCAGATCTTCCCAACCCACGAACCAGGGTCTCCTGCATTACAGAAGGATTCTTTACCAACTGAGCTATCAGGGAACACCCATGAGCAAAGTGAAAACAATCAAACAAAAATAAAGTACCATAGATTGACCCAGCGAACAAAGGAAATCAAAAATTATATTTACCAGTTAATAACAAAACTAACAAGCACAAACTGGAAAACAAAACTAAACCAAGGTGCCAAGTGGGGAACAAAGCAATGAAAAGAAAACTAACAAATACTTTGAGAGGAAAGGAAAGAAAGAAAGAATAGATATGCAAAGTTAAACAGAGGTAGATGAAGAAGATTTATATACATTAAAGATTAACTGCAAGGGGAAAAGAACAGTAGGAAAAGCAAACAAAGAAATAAATTTAGAAAAAATATAATAAGTTTTAAAAAGTTAAAAATTAAAGTTATAAAAAAGAGAAAAGAAGCAAAACGGAAGAAGAAAGAAAAAAGCAAAAACAGGCAAAAGCCCAGTGTAGAGGCAGAGGATTATAACAACAATAGAAAGTGTGACTGAATATACACGTATACATATACACCCATAAGCAAAATCAAAACAGTCCAACAAAAATAAAGTACAGTAGATTGACCTGGCGAAAAAAGGAAATCAAAACTAATTAAAGTGCAAACTGGAAAAAAAACTAAAGCAAGGTGCCAATTGGGGAATAAAGCAATGAAAATAAAACTAACAAATATTTTGAGGAAAGGAGAGAAAGAAAAGAAAGACTAGGTACATAATGTTAAACGGAGGTAGATAAAAAAAGATTTATATACGTTAAAGATTAACTGCAAGGGGGAAAGAACAGTAGGAAAAGCAAACAAATGGATAAATGTAAAAAAAAAAAAAGGTTTAAAAATTTTAAAAAGAGAAAAGGGGAAAAAAAAAAAAAGAGGAAAATGCCACAGAATTGCAAAAGCCAAACATAGAGGCAGAGGCTTATGACAACAATAAAAAATGTGACTGAGGGGGAAAAAAAGCTCAAAAGCTTAACTGGATTTCTTAGTGCCAATAAAATCAACAACTACAACAGGGGGGTGAGGGAAGGGGGAAATAAAAGAAAAAACAAAAGAACGTACAGAACAAGTCAAAACATAAGAATAATAAATGTTTTCCTTGAGTCTCTGCTGTCAGAGTCCTTTCCCACGCTGGGAATCACAGTCCACCTCACCTCCCTAGGATGCCCTCTGACCCCGTGCTGATCTCTGGACCTGCTGTGAGCGCAGCTCAGGATCTAATCTGGTCCTACTCCTGTGTGTTCTTGCCTTCAATGTCCACAGCTATCAGAGCTAGTGCGTTTTATTTTGTGGGCTCTCTCTATTTCCTTTTATATATTCCATGGACACAGTCTGCCTAGTTGATCCTGTGGATTTAATCTACAGCTTGTAGAGCTGGTGGGAAGCTTTTGGATCTTCTTCCTTAGCCACACTGCCCCTGGGTTTTAATTGTGGTTTTATTTCCACCTCTACATGTTGGTCGGCCGCTGGGGTTTAGCTCCTGAGGCTGCCCTGAGGACTTGGGTTTGCCCCTGTGGGGGCCAGGTGCGGAGGTGGTGCAGCTGCTTGGGTCGCAGGGGCTCTGGCAGCACCAGGTACTCAGGGGGGCTGACAGCGAGGGCAGCAGGAAATACAGTGCTCTAGAAGGGCATGGCAACCAGTATTGGCCAGTACACTCCAGTATTCTTGCCTGGAGAACCCCCTCTCTGCCAGAGAACCTGGCAGGCCACAGTCCACAGGGTGACAAAGAGTCGGACACAGCCGAAGCGACCCTGCGCGCATGGATGCAAGAATTGTTTTGCCTGTGGCAGCTCTGCCCCAGTGAGAGTTGAGCGTGAAGGGGATGCCGCTGCTGGGCTTGTGGGGACCTGGTGGCACCAAGGGCGCAGGGGCATGGACTGCCTCTGCTGCAGGAGTTAGGGCCCTATCCATCTTTTTTCGAGCCTCTTGTAGCTGGCGATCAGAAGGCCTCTTTGGCCAGTCTTTCTCTGTAGCTCTGCCCGTTCAGGCACTTAGAGGGGGCCCTTGCCTGGGGTCCTTCTCTGTTGTTTGGTGCATCAGGCACATAGAGGACCCCCCTGGCTGGGGTCCTACTCTGTAGATTGGCAAGTCAGGCACTTAAAGAGGCACGCTGGGTGGGGTGGTACTCTGTAGTTCAGTGCCGCAGGCATTTGATGGGCCGGGCTCTCTATTTTTCAGCTGCTGATACTGGCAAGTGGGGGCAGAGAGGCTATGGTGACGGCTCCACGTGACTCAGCCTCGCTTCCATGGATGCCTGGCTTTCCTCCACAGGCATTTCCCTCGAGATCGCCTCCCTCACATCCCCTCAATCCATCTCGCTGCAGTCAACCACAGCCCTCGCCCTGGGATTGCTCCACAATCCCTAAACTCCAGCTCCCTGCTGCTATGTCTTCTAGAAGACCAGCGTTCCTGTCTAGGGTATGTACGGCCGCTGCAAGGACTGTCTGCTTCTCATTCCACTTAGGCTGCCACAGGTCAGCTCTTTCACTCTCAGCCTTAAATGTTTCTCTTCTGACTCGGACAGTTGCCCTGCTGTGGGGATCGGACCCCTGCTTCAGTTCCCCCACGCACTGAGGGCAGGTCCAGTCCTACTAACACTCCTGTTTCTCCCCCTAGTTCCTTTGTCCTACCGAGTTTTGTGTGGTTCCCCGTATTCTTTTCCACTGGTCGGGTACTCCTGTCCACGCTCAGCTGGTGTTCTTTCTGCATGCACTTCTGTGTCTGACGGTGTATTCCCGATGTATCCATGGAGAGAGATGTACTCCACATCTGCCTACTCCTCTGCCATCTTGTTCTTTTATTCATTACTTTTAAGTAAACTCTGCATATTAAACAACAGTGATTTAACCTCACAAGGGTTGAATAAGGCAAACTTGACCTTGAATCTTCCCTATTCTTATCAATTTGTTACTTTGAACAATTTTTCTTACTTCTCTAGGGTGTGGTCTCTTTACCTATAAGATGAGAACACTGAATTGGGATCTAGATGATCTAAATGCTCCTTTCAGTTATAAAATCCTGAATGCCATTGATAATGCTGTTGATCCTAAATAGTTTATTACCTACTTGAAATCTCATTAACTTACTTGCATCCATTAAGAATTATGAAGAGTCTGAGATGCTAACTGATATCCAAGCTAACCAGTTAGTCTTCTACAGTTTCATGGATATTGGCATAAGACATCAGACTCCCAGGTCAGAAACACAGGAATTTTGTCACTCATGATAAAAAACATGATATTACATATGGAACAACAAGGTCCTCCTGTATAGCAGAGAGAACTACATTCAGTATCCTATGATAAACCATAGCATAAAATAATATATATAAAGAATACATATTATATATATATATATATATATATATATATATATATAAAACTGAATCACTTTGCTGTTCAGCAGAAATTAACACAACACTGTAAATCAACCATACTTGATTTTAAAAGTTAAAAAAAGAAACGTGAGCTTCTGGTTTGTGTGAGTTTCCCTTGCACCCTACAGCCCCTGGGGCTAGCGGGGAGGGCCCCAGATAGTGCAAAGTATGACGAAGCCTTGTGTCACAGCTAAGAACCCACCCCCCCGCCCATGCTTAGAGACCCCAGTCATTTATAATGGCTGCAAGCAAATCTGCCAAACTTTTGCCGCTGTGGGAGACCTTATCTTAATTATATTGGACAATAAACAAACTTAATCTCTGCTGTTGAGGGCAATGCTTTCTTATTTTCTGAGGCTTTAGCTATTTAAACATCCTCAAAAAGCTAGTTGGGAGTAAAAGCTGTGAGTGCCACTTTTCGGAAGACATGTAGAAATGCAAGAGACCTGTGGAAAATTGTCTTCTATATCAGCTCATCCCAAAAGATACGATCAATTAACATCTTCTATATTTATAGGTATACTATATATCACCACAGACTGATACAATTTATGCAAATATACAATATGCTCATAGGATCTACTATTTCAACTTTAATATGAAACTATTCACTAGTGCATTTTATTTAATAGACTCATCTTTACAAAACATCAAGCTGCTTACTGTTAATATAATGTCTCTTATTTTAAAGTTAATACATGGTCCAAATGCTCAGATCTTGCTATATCACACACACATTTATATGTATATGCACTCATACATACTAGTGCATATTTGCTATTTTTTCTAACATCCTCTTTAGAAACCACCTCTCCACATGGACTCACGCAGGGGTGGGACATCACAGGATCCCCTACTGGGACCCCATCTGACCCCGTCCCATGAATCCCATGAATCATGGGCTCTGAAATAAGGAAGCAATTACACAGAGAGCAAGGGAAGCTTTCGGAGAACTGATTTTGATCCTGTAGTAGAGAATACTGTGTTCTCATCTCTGGAAACATTCAACCTCCACGGGGACACACCTCACAGACCTCTACACCAGGGAGATTCATTAGCTATGTGCCCTCTGCTTCACTGTGACGTCCAAACCCATCACATGAGCATCAAGGCCATGCTCTCCCCGGCTGTTCTCAGCCAATGACAGCTTGTGACATGAACGGCAAGGCCGTCTCACTCTTACTTTTCCAGCAACCAACTCTGACTTGGAAACAACCTGCTGGCCCTTCCCTGAACTTTCTTTAGTTTACACAGCAATATATTAATAGAACCCTTCTGCCTAACCATCTGTCCTCTCTTTCTTTCTGGCTTAGTTACATTGTGGTCTGACAGCTTACCCAGTCTTCCCCGGTTCCTTCCTCATTTTCTCTCTCAGGAATTTCCCCTAACAAAATCCTTGCACATGCAAAGAAATAGAGGAAAACAATAGAATGGGTAAGACTAGAGATCTCTTCAAGAAAACTCGAAACACCAAGGGGCTATTACATGCAAGGATGGGCACGATAAAGGACAGAAATGATAAGGACCTAACAGAAGCAGAAGAGATTAAGAAGAGGTGGCAAGAATACACAGAAGAACTATACAAGAAGGGGTTTAATGAATGGGACAATCACAATGGTGTGATCACTCAACTAGAGCCAGACATCTTGGAGTGTGAAGTCAAGTAGGCCTCAGGAAGCGTTACTACAAACAGAGTTAGTGAAGCTGATGGAATTCCAACTGAGTTATCTAAAAATCTAAAAAGATGATGCTGTTAAAATGCTGCACTTAAAATGCCAGCAAATTTGGTGAACTCAGCAGTGGCCACAGGACTGGAAAAGGTCAGTTTTTATTCTAATTCCAAAGAAAGGCAATGCCAAAGAAAGTTCAAACTAGCATACAATTGTACTCATCTCACATGCTAGCAAGGTAATGCTCAAAATCTTTAAAGCTAGGCTTTAACAGTATGTGAACTGAGAACTTCCAGATGTATAAGCTGGATTTAGAAAAGGCAGAGGAACCAGAAATAAAATTGCCAACATCCACTGAGGGGAATTTAAAAAAAAAATAGAGAAAGCAAGGGAATTAAAAAAGAAAAGTCTACTTCTGCTTCATTGACTATGCTAAAACCTGTGGCTGTGTGGATCACAACAAACTGTGGAATATTCTTAAAGAGATGGAAATACCAAAGCACCTTATCTGCCTCCTGGAAACCTGTATGAACAACGGACTGGTTCCAAATTGGGGAAGGAGTATGTCAAGGCTGTATATTGTCACCTTGCTAATTTAACTTACATGTAGAGTACATCATGCGAAATGCTGGGCTGGATGAAGCACTAGCTGGAATCAAGATTGCCGCAAGAAATATCAACAGCCTCAAATATGAGCAGCTGATACTACCCAGATGGCAGAAAGCAAAGAGGAACTAAAGAGCCTCTTAATGAAAGTGATAGAGGAGAGTGAAAAATCTGGCTTAAAGCTCAATATTCAAAAAATGAAGGTCATGGCATCTGGTCCTATCACTTCATGGCAAATAGATGGAGAAATCATGGAAACAGTGACAGACTTTATTTCTTGGACTCCAAAATCACTGCTGCCATGAAATTAAAAGACACTTAATTGTTGGATGGAAAACAATGACAAACCTAGGCAGCATATTAAAAAGTAGAGACAATACTTTGCCACCAAAGGTCCATATATATACTCAAGGCTATGGTTTTTCCAGTAGTCATGTACAGATGTGAGAGTTGGACCATAAAGAAGACTGAGCACCAAAGAGTTGATGCTTTCAAACTGGTGCTGGAGAAGACTCTTGAGAGTCCCTCGAATAGCATGGAGATTAAACCAATCAATCCTAAAGAAAATCAACCCTGAATATTCATTAGAAAGACTGATGCTGAAGCTCCAATATTTTGGCCACTTGATGTGAAGAGCTGACTCATTGGAAAAGACCTTGATGCTGGGAAAGATTGAAGGCAGGAAGAGAAGGTGACAACAGAGAATGGGATGGTTGGATGGCATCACTGACTCAATGCACATAACTTTGAACAAACTCCAGGAGATGGTGAAGGACAAGGCAGCCTGGAGTGCTGGGGTCCATCGGTTCACAAAGAGTCATACACGACTGAGTGACTGAAAAACAACAGGTGTCTTTTTCTTGGAAGACTTGACTAACATAGATAGCTGTTAGTAGGATCTAAAGGTTACAGTGACTATTTTGATTGTCGTGTGGAATCAGGGTACTGAGAAATAGGAAAACATAGAGCCAGTGAGATGGAGAGAACTGATAAAGTTCTTCAAAGTCCTACAACCAGTCAATGTGAAGCCAGAACTATCTTCTTGGATTTATAGTCTATAAAACAAAAGGTCCTTCCCTCTCCTATCTCTCCCTCTCCTTTTCCATGAGAGCAGGAACACCATCTATCTCCCTCCAGAAGATCAAGAACAAGGTTGTTTCAGACTGCCTCTGAATTCTAAGCACTAGTATTTTGCTGGTCACTTGGTAGGCACACAATACTTATCTGCTGACTGAATGAAGAAATTATGCTCTAATTCCTCTCTTTGTAATCTCTAACCACTTTAAGGCTAGATTATTATGGAAGTACAAAGGATAGTAATGGAGCCAAGTGCACTTTAGTTCAGGAGATCCATGAGCAGAATCTTTGTTCTATTCTCCTTTGAATGCAGAAAAGAGTCCAAGTAATCCACCCTCAGAAGAGAAGAGCACTTATTAAGTATATTTTAATAGTATATATTTCAGGCTTTACTCTCTAGAGCTATATACCCATAACAACAATTTTTTTGTTTTGCTTTTTTTCCCCCTAGAGCCACATTCTCTTGTCTCATTAAATTAGCATCCTCCACCTTGACAGGCTCTGTTGCAGCCAACAAGGATTTCACAAATAATACACTGACTTCTCTACCCATAATCCCATATTATAATTTATAATTATTTTTTCCAAGCAAATGAAACCTTCTAGAATTTACATAAGCTTTTTTAAAAAGTGAGCATGAAAGAGAACTGCTATAAAAATTCAGTGGTGCCACTGAAATTCCAGGATAAGAATGATGTTAGACTTCAAGAAAGTTTAGATGGAGTTACTGGAAGGTACCAAGAGTTTCCTCTTGATTGCTCATAGGTATTCCTTACATTTTGCAGTCCTACCCATATGGAGAGTGATTCCTTGAGTCTCAGTCCCAACAGCAAATTCCTAGAAGAATCTGGCTCAATTTTAGGATGATGTCCACTCCTGGTAGACTGACACAGCTTCCAAGCTCCCACTTGTGAGAGTTTACAGGAGTTATGGGGACTTTATTGCCACCCGGCTCATTTATATTGTCACCCTGCTTATTTAATGTATATGCAGAGTACATCATGAGAAACGCTGGGCTGGATGAAGCACAAGCTGGAATCAAGATTGCTGGGAGAAATATCAATAACCTCAGATATGCAGATGAT